AATGCATCCTGAGGGAGAGGGGCAGGGAGAGAAACATGATGCCCTTCATATACAGTATTTGGATATTATTGTTTGGGATTTAAATCCTGAATGAATGGACAGCATCAAATTGTTTTCTCTTAATTTAGACTGATCAGAATGAACACAGCCACTTTGTTGAGATGTACATACAGATCTTTATGTTAAGAAATTGTGTGCTATAGTTATCCATTGCAAAATAATATGAAGGCAAGCCAGCTTTTCTGAGCCAACTTCATTTCAGATGTGATAAATTTCACTTTCTCAAAATTATAGAAAGTTGAATCCAATAAATCTGTTGGACAGCAGATGGGGAAGGCTATCTATGGCATGGCAAAACAATCCTTCCTTGGAAGATTATTCACTCAAAATTTTCTGAAGCATCATATACAAAGGAAATAATTATCCACAACAGTCAAGAAATTATATATATTTAAATATCAGCAATGTTGTGGCATTGATCATCACATAAAAACTCCTGTTGGTACTGCATTGCTAAGTTCCCAAGACAAGCAATATTACAGCAGTAAAACATTAATATTTCATTTTATGATATCATTGTATATGAGTTAAAATGTACACTAAGTATCACATCATGCCAAAATGACAGGTACTGGACTTATTACAAGGTAACGTACAGTAGTCATTACAACTTTCAAACTCGTAAATCAAAATGAGGTAGCTAAAGACAGACTAAAATAGATATTCCTATAAACTGTAAATTTTGTCCCATAAACTGGTGCGACGGATGCAAAGGTCCTTATTATAACAAAGCTGAATTCTGTGCACGCTCGAAGATACCGCTCTTCAGGAGTGATTAACACTGCGCTGAAAATCATCCTCGGATGCAAATTTAACTTCCATACCCTGCTGCATGTTTCCTATTTTTTCCACCAACAGGAGAAACAGAAACTCATCAACATGAGCAATTACCAATTACCAACTCGTACCAGGATGGGGGGGGGGTAGGAAAACCACTACCAGAAAAAATCAACTTACCCGGGAAAAAGCGAAAGTCCAATAAACGAGTCCCCCCACCATGACTTCCCCAGAAACGGCTGTTAAAGGCCAGGCTGACTGTGCAGAGATGGAGAAACTACTGCTCCCAGCAAGCCCTGGGCGTAACGATAGAACTACAATTCCCGGCAGGTCTCACGCGTTTAAACGGAAGAAGGTAGGAAACCACATTTCCCAGAATGCAACAAAAGGAGAGGCAATTGTTTCCCTGAAAGAGACCACGGGAGGGAGTGTATTGATCGCGAATTCAAGAAATTCGGCGTTCCTTATAATTAAGATAAAGATTATAGTATAGTTCCCAACCGGCCGATGAGAAATATTGTAACTGGAAAGTAAGTGGATTTGTAATCTTGATACAATATTTCGTTCAAAACACTCTGGACAGTTGCTTTGCAAAAGTGTAGGATTTTAACTGTTGTAAGTTAACCCAACTATACAAAGTTTAAGAAGGGCAGTTCATTCCAAGATTTAAATTGTCTTTATATACTATTATGTATCATATTATTATATTAATTGCTTATATATACTATAAGCAATTACTATACCAGATGCAGAACACAGACCCTTAGTGAAGTATCTATATTGACAGCAAAACTACTCCCAGGACTTCTAAAAGCCAGGTTTTATTACTCTTTTGTTATTATATGTTTATTATTACGTTCATATGTTCATATTAGTAAAGTTGGAAGGGACCTTGGAGGTCATCTAGTCCAACCCCCTGCTCGGGCAGGAAACCCTACACCATTTCGGACAAGTGGCTGTCCAGTCTCTTCTTAAAAACTTCCAGTGTTGGAGCATTTACTGCTTCTGGAGGCAAGCTGTTCCACTGATTAATTGTTCTCACTGTCAGGAAGTTTCTCCTTAGTTCCAGGTTGCTTCTTTCCTTGATTAGTTTCCACCCTTTGCTTCTTGTCCTGCCTTCAGGTGCTTTGGAAAATAGCTTAATTCCCTCTTCTTTATGGCAGCCCCTGAGATATTGGAATACTACTTAATAATTCAAATCCTAACCATAGATCTAAGAATTATTAAGGGAGCATATATGGGTAGGATAGTTTTAAAAAAAAAATAGAATGTTTCAATCTGATAAAATCAATATGTCCAGATATTGAGGATGTCCTTTAGCTAACTCCAATGTCAGTTGACATAGCAACAGATTTTCCATAATAGTTCAACTTCAATCCAGTATTTCATATTTTTTTCCATTTTTTTTTTCTTCAATCCTGGATCACCTGGAATAGCAACATCAGTGAACCAGACTTTCTTTCTTTTAAGTATTGGGCATATTATAAAAAAGATGTTTGTCTGTTTGGATCTTAAAGTTCCCTAAGACCCAATATCAAAACTTTCTCAATTTAATAGTCCCAACAGTTTTTACAGCATTCAAAACGAGATCTCTGGCAAAATTTAGAATGAATAATTCTCACAACTTGTTCATGATGCTGTTTGTAGTCAATTTGTTACATTCTACCACAGCCTTTGATCAAATGGTTAATTGTTTCATTCTTTTTACTACAACCAAGACATTTTCTGTTGTTTGTTACCTGTAGAATTTTTACCTTCTTGCAATTAATTCGCAAAGCTTGTTCTTGAGACATTAAAATAAACCTATCAATTTCTTTCTTTAACATTCGTGATAACCAATTCATGTGGATTTTTCAACAACTTCTCCTTTTATATTTTTCAAATTTTGACCATGTATTGACTTATTCTTCTAATTAACAAATTGTTTTTAATTGTTTCTTTCTACATTCAGCCTTCACCTTTGTTATTTTCAAAAGCTTTCCTTGATTGATTTCCTTCATGCAAGAATTCTTGACTTTTCTTAAAGTAGTTAGTAATCAAGCCATGCTTTTCTTCCATTACAGCTTGTTTTACCTGCACTTCCTTTACCCTCTTCACCTCTTGGCAAATACAGTTGTCATCAGTATCATTTTTTGGGGTGCAAATCATGGTATATTATCATAAGGAGTTTTTTTGTCTTCTGATCCTGGTAATCAAGTTCCACCTTGTTCCAATGAATTATATTGCTGTATATTGAATAACAGGGCCTAGATATTGTTTTAACAATGTTTCCATCATTTAGTTTTGATTTCAACATTTTACGAACTTATGTGATATATTTGGTTGAAGTACTTTCTTTGACTTGATTCTGTAATAAATTCTTCCAAAATTATGAAATATTTATATCCTTCTTTTGGTGCTCTTGTTTTTGTCAAATCTTCATTGTTAAGCTATATTCCCCCATCTTCAACTATTTGCCTACCTTTATCTCCATAGTTACACACTTGTTGATACTAATTCACATTTCAGGAACCTTATTGAATCCTTTTATGCTTTTTAATAAGGAATCTAGTTCAGCCTTTGGTTTTCCAAATAATTTTAAATCATCCATATAGAGTAAATGCAGACTGCTTGCTCATGTTTTGGCCAAGTCATAGCCACAGTTTCTTTTGTTCCACTGATAGTATAAAGAGTAAAGGTGATAATAAATCAATTTGAAAAATTCCACATTTCATTTCAATTTCTCTTAACTCTTCCCTATTAACCACCAGCTTTGTTTGCCAAAACTTTATTGAGGTTTTCGTAAATTGCCAAATTTTTCTAATGATTCAAACTTTTTTTGGTTATTTCTCAGTTTAGCTATGTGAAAAAGAATCAAATGATCAAATGTTTTTTTTTTTTTTTTTTTTGTAGTCTATCCAGGCCAGGGGTAGGCAATTAATTTTCCCAAGAGAAACTGAGACTGTTGTTGAGGGCTAAACCAATAGGGCTATGAAGGTGCATAGGCACACATGCACAATGGTGGGATTCAGATAGTTGATCAAGTGGATGCTGCTTCCGGAAGTCCATTCTGGGCCTGGGCAACAAAAAAATTAGCTACCAGTTCTGCCAACTGGTGCAAACTGGCTGAATCCCACCACTGCACATGCATATATATGCATACAATTGAAAAAACATAGCAGTCACTTTCAACATAAAAACAATGCAGTTGTATTGTGTGCATGGCACACTTATTTACATTTCATTTCTAATTTCCGATTCATTTGGGTCAGACAAGGACAGCCAAAGACCCGGATATGGTCAGAGCACTGTTTAAATGCCCAAATCTGATCCAGGCCATAAACACATTTTTCTTTTTCTTGAATTCCTTACAACCAATTTATCAATAATAGCTATTATTAATAATAATATTTCAATCAACTTTCACCCCCCCCCCCCAAAAAAAATAACCAAATGGGGAGAGTGGTTTAATTTCAGAGACAGTGCAATTCCAAAGAAGGAGAACTATAAGAATTTTGTCATCATAGTCCAGAAGATGGTAGAGGACAGAAAGGCCTGGAGGAACTTTGTCCATGGGGTCGCGATGGGTCGGACACGACTTTGCAACTAACAACAACAGTCCTTAAGCATGATCTTAAGGGGAGACATCCTCCTAGATCTTATTGGACAGGTAGAAACCAATGAAAGTAGGTGGTCTTATACAGTATACAAGTCCTAAATCACGTAGGCTTTAAAGGTGGCAACCAGCATGTTGAATTGGACCTTGAAGGTCACTTTTAACCAATATACTGTAGGTCCTGGAGGTATTTATATGGGAAATTTATTGAGCTTCATCATTCAGCTGCAGTATTTTAGACCATTTGAACCATCTGATTAATCTTCAAAGCCAACCCATGTAGAGTTCATTACAATAGTTCAAAAGTTTGGGAGATGTTCTAGATCAGTGGTTCTCAACCTTTTTAATGCCGCGACCCCCAACTGGTAATAAGTCGAGGACTATTCAACCAGTCGTAAGTCGAGGACTACTCAACTGGTGCAGAATGGGACTTTTGGCGGACTCAGCAGGGCAGAGACAGCCTGGACTCAAGAGAGTCTATTCTATTGGCTTTCAAAAGCCAATAGAATAAAAGGGAGTAGCACAGCTAAGGAAAAGGGGGAAAAAATGGCGGACTGCATTGTTTGACAACCCCCGTGAAATGGTCGTTCGACCCCAAATGGGGTTCCGACCCACAGGTTGAGAACCACTGTTCTAGATGTATAGGAAACTACCATTGTAATCTTTATGATATGTTATATTTGGATTTCAGCTCTGGTAAGAAAAAAAGGCAATAGTTCTTAATCTAGGAATAAGCAGTGTGCTATGAGTACAGATATGTTCAAGGACATATAGTCTGCATAGCTTCTTGCTCAACCTGACCTTATCATTTAATCTAATTTTAAAAAGAACAACAAATGAATAGAAAAAGAAAATGCTGCTAAATGCCAGGTTTTACAATCACCTTTATTTATAAGAATGCCTCTGGCATCAGCAAACATTCTCACAAAATAAAAAAATGGTATAATTTCAGTCCAGTGCTTTGCTTGGAAATGTGTCTACTTCTTATTGTGGAGGCAGAGAACATCCAGAGAAACAAGATGAAGTTTCTGCGAGTACTACTAATAGTTTTTATGCCATTATGGCAACCATTTTATGAATAACTGAGCTTCCATCAGCCATTTTGTGTGTATTTATTACATGCTGACAAAATTCTAACTACACACATCTGTCCAAAAGAGTTGCTACCTTTGTCTTAATTTCATTCAGTTCTGTAAAATCTGAAAAGGCATCCATTCTTTACAAGTTTTCCTAAATAGATAAAAATGTCCTCTGATGCTGAAAAGGTACCCACTATTTACAACAGTTTCCATAAACACTGTACCTAAATATCCCTTTAGAGACCTACAGAGATCTGGATATGGCCAGTGCATTTTCTTGGTAACATCATGGTAGTATTTTATTCCCACTGATTTCTGGGATGCTTTTCGGCTTCCAGTCCAGCCTCAATTTCTGAGCCTAGTCAAGTCAGCTGAGTAATAGCACCTGCTAAGATGTTCACATTTTGAATTTTGGAATTTGCAACCTCAGCATAGTTGATAGACGCTAAATTGGGGGAGCATGCTTTGTAACATGAAGTAACATTGTTGAGATAGATAGACAAACAGACAGACAGACTCAAGGATATTGGGTAGCACTGAACAATGTTTTCAGACATCCTCTAGCTCAGAGGCCTCCAACCTTTTGGGCACCAGGGATCGGTTCTATGGAGAAAGATTTTTCCGTGGGCCAGAGGGAGTGTGGTTTCGTGTGCTGCCTGCATCCAATGGATGGGGCTCCACTTTTTTGCATGGCCCAGTTGCTGGTAAGCCATGGCCCGGTGCCAGTCCACGGCCCGGGGGTTGGGGACCCCTGCTCTAGCTATTCTCCTTTGATGTTTGAAATAAGTGGGATGTCTCATAATTTAACAGTCAGCAAAGCGTTCTAATTCCTTCATGAAGCAGTGTATTCTGACTAACAACAGTAAATGATCATTATCTCTATGTAATAGCTAATTTAGGAGATCTAAAGCTCTCCAAAATTTACCTATTAGGATCTTCAGTTTGACTTAATAACACTAAAGACTGTGAAGTTACTTAAGTTGGGTACTAATTAAGTCCTATATATTTCAAGTCACACCTAATATTGATGGAACAAAGAAGCTCATAATGGGAGATTTTCTTATAAGAATTCTTCAGCTGAATAACAGCTTCAAGTTAAATGCTAATTATGTCAAGTTAAAAAAACAGAATCAAATGGAATTTAATAATTAATGATTCTGTTCCATTTAACTGGAAAAGTTGAGAAAAGAATATTAAGGAATCTTGCTGTGTAAGGATATAAATATTTGGGAAAATAGATTTTTCAAAAATATTTTTTCTGCCTTTGTTTTTTTTAATAAATGACTCAAGATGGCAAACATATCTAGTAATCTTTCATTCTCCTATTGTCCCCACAACAACAACCCGGTGAGGTGAGGTGAGCTGAGACAGGGGGACTGGCACAAAGTCACTCAGCCAGGCCTAAATCTCATTTCTGATGCCTTAATCACTAAATAAACTTTTGTGCTTCTCTTAACTGGCATCATGCATTTAGCAGGAGACTGGCCGTCTTTCCAATGTTGCAGTTAAGTATCACAAGTGCTATGTACAAGAGCCATTTTCCACCTGTCTCTAACCAAGATGTTGTTTCTTAAATCTGAGAGCTGCATTTGGACTTATCAGTGGTATGCATCCCAAAGTAGTGGATAGGGTCAGGATAAGAACTACATTTGAATTAACTTTCTACACTAATAAATAAGGAGAGTGCTGGTTCATGTGGTTGCAAAGCTAGATTGACAATTTGCAACTCGCATTCAAAGCCCAAGTGATATTGTGTGACCGGAAAAGCTCCCATCATTCACTCCTGCCCACCTAGCAGTTCAAAAGTGTGTAACAACATGAGTAAATATTACCACTTCGGTGGTCTCATTAACAGGGACATGAAAAGAGCTCCCTACTGGTTGTCCCCCCAGGCAACAGTGATGTTACTGGGAGATCCTTTCACCACGGAAGTGCTTCGGTATATACTAATGAATACAATTATATTGTAAACTAAACTCAAATATAATTAATTAGATTATCTGTTGATCATGAGTTTTATTATTTCTTCCACCTATTATATTAAATATGACAATTTGGTAACAACTTTGGGAGGCATGGCTTTGGAAGGCCACATGGGGGCCCTCCTTGGATTTCAGAGCTTGTAGCTCTGCTCTGTTCTAAAATGCTCAGGATTTCTGGAACAGCTCCCTTGAGACATCCTTTTGATAAGCATACAGTAATGCAACCTGCTCTCAAATAATATACTGTCAGATCTTTAAGCATCCAGCTAAAAGCAAAAACAATATTCCTAAGCACAATTGTCACCGTGCCTCTTTAACAAGATTTATTGAGAAGAACGAAATGGGATTACAAGAATTCCAGCAACTGAACTTTGTCTCATTTGAATCAGTTTATCCCCATGTCATATTTATTATTTTTATAAATAACTCAAGGTACCAGACACACACAATACTACTTTCTTCTCCTATTTTCCCTGCAACAACAAACCTGTGAGGTGGTTTGGGTTGAAAGATAGTGACTGATCCAGTTATTTTACCAGCTTCCCTCAGTTTCGGTGTTGTTTCAGATGTGTGGACCTCCACTCTCAAAATTTTCAGCTGGTTAGGGGAATCTGCACATTTGCAAGGTGTTCTGACTGGAGAAAGTTGATTTATTTGATTGACAAACTGAAACCATCCAAGATGTGTGAGTGGGTTTCTTCTGCTTCCTTTAAGAAGGCGCTGCTACCTTTCTTGGTTTTCCCATCCCATTGAACTACCTTTCAGGTATCTTCTATTTATCTTCTTAGGAAGAAATTTCATAAACCTCAGCACAGGTAGACTCGGCCTCCATGTCCTTGGCATACTATAGGAAGGAAAAGAGAACGGATCAATGAAGGCCTGTTTCTGTCTCTCAGATCTTATTCTTAGCCAGCTCCCTTATAATATCCAGATTGTCTGAATCAGAAATTTGCTTCAGTATCTAAACAGAAATAATTAATTTCCTCAGCCATTTCCTGTTTGCTAAAAATATTGAAATTGGGCCCTTTTGAAAAACAAAGCTGGACTCTTGAGAAAAGGAGTAAAAAGTTGTGTGGAGGAAAAAGAAGAATTTTTCAGTTTCTAAAAAAACCTCGCAGAAGCTAGCAATTATACCTCAACTTCAGTGATCAAGTTATTCTAAGGAATAGGGAAAATTAAAACATTTAAGTAGAAATATTCCTTAAGATTAGTTTTTATTTTAACAATATGAGAAGTCTAATTTCCTCTGGTGATTATTACCTCCATACAATTGTTTTAGTCCTTGTATGTTTTATGCAAGGGCTCCTCTGTACAGCAGAGTTGCTTCTATATTAAGAATAGGTAATTTATGAACTACTTACAACCTTATCTTTTCTTGCTTATTTTTCTACTGGAATTCCTTCTAAGATGCTATGTGTGATTTTAACAGCCTCATGTCTTTAACCTCCTTTGTCATTGTTTTTTTTTTCTTTTTTAAAGTAAAGTTTGATTCTATTTATCTTTTTTAGAATTGATCTCTCCGCATAGGAAGATGCAGAGGAAAGCCTGATTTCTTGTCACAAATCTCAGTTTTATAGAGAGTGACACTTTTATTAGGTGCACCTACCTATTTCACCTGCTGAGATTTGGGAAAGGACATCATGGCTTTAGGGGAAAATGTTTAAAACTTCCATCTTTTTCTCATAGAAGCTAAATCCTGCTGCTAGAGTCCCTCCCAAATATTGGGGAAAGATGATTGAATTCATGGGAACTTTTGCCCAAGTAGAGCTACAGCTTTTACTTTTTACTTTCTTTAATTTTTTAATTTATTTTTAGATTAATATTCTGTCTCAAATTGGGGCATAGTATCCTCCCCTCAATGTGAGGGTTCCACTTCAAACTGTAGCTCATATTGTGACCGGCTTTTTTTTTTTTTTTTAAGTAAAGAATGATATGGTTCCTGGGCCTTTGACTTGGGCACCAAGGCATACAGTAATCCTACTTGCACTACTCCATTTAACTATATAATAATATAATTAATTGCTATAAGAAAGTGGCTGTAAACTGAGGGCATATACCGGTTTAATATTTGATTTTTGATTTTTATTTTTAATATAAACAAAATGTGCTTCAGTGGTTAAATGTCCTAGACATTAGTATTTCAACATAGAACTTTTTAACATTTATATTTTATGGTGTTTTATTAATCTAGGTGAAATGTTAATATATATTGCTAGTCCATGTATGATATGCCACATGCTAAATAAATTTAACCACTATACTACACTTTCTCTCTGTCTATGCTTTCTTAAACTGACTCCTAATCACCATAAAGGATTAGTCAGGATTAGAACAAACTGACCCACATCTGGATGAAGAATTCATAGATTCTGGATAAGGGAGGGTTTTCATCCTTACCCAATAGGCTGCTCCAGAAAGCAGCAAAGGTGGCTGACCCGGTAACAGCCCCATAAGCAGCTGGGTTCTTGCGACTGGTGCTGACTGAGAAGCCCCCTGGCCCTGTTGCTTCAATCATCACCACATGATAGTCAGGGACACTGCAAGATAAAATTGTGCTCAGTTAGACCAGATGTTTAGAAGAAAAATGACACAAAGCCATGAGCTTGCTGGCACATGCTTCACACCAGTGTTTCTCAACCTTGGGAACTTTAAGATGTGTGGACATCAACTCCCAGAATTCACTAGCTAACATACTGCCTGGGGAATTTTGGAAGTTAAAGGCCATAATTCTTAAAATTTCCAAGATTGAGAGACACTGCTTTTACACCATAGCAGTTTCAGAAAATGGCTACCATGATACTTGTGTCCAGTCACAAAATATTCATTTATCAAGAATATAACTACAACACCAACTGTAATCCTCAGAATATTCTCCAAAAATATGAGTTTCCTTAAAAAAAATGGCATCAAGGGTTTCTACAGTGTACGTTTTTTTTTTAAAGACAAGATGGCTACATGTTGATCAAACTCCTCCTTTTTATGACTATTGTTGTGTCCTGGGCCTGATGAGGGAACTCAGCAGGCCCAGAAATGTTGCAAATGGTCCCGGGCAACCTAAAAGCTGCCCAGGACCAGACTGGCTGGTGCTGGAATACTGCGCATGCGCAAGGCGCGAAGAAAGAGGGATTCCTATTGGCTGGACTGCCTGGGGGTTGGAAATCTATAAAAGGCCTGCGTGCCTGTTTTGCAATTGTTTGGAGTGGAGTTAAGGAGAAATAAAGAAGTTTGCTTTACAATATGTCGTGTTTCAATGCCTTGAATCCCGAAATACAAAAGTGGCGACGAGGATGGGATCGCTGCAAAGAAAAAGGCAGTAAGAAGAGGATAAGCCTCATCTGAAAAGCCTGAAGCCTATGAATCGGCGTCCAGCTCTGCACTCACCTGCCAGTACAGCATCGCTGGAGGTGAGCTTGGCAAACGGGCCCTTCCCCTCAACAAAGGCCTGCAGTGAGGCTTTCAAAGCAGAAGATGTCAAAGATTGGACATCTGTCTGAGTTCAACATCTCTCACCCGGAGCGCTGGAACTCCTACGTGGCCTGGGTGGAAAATTACCTAAGGGTTAACCAGGTTCGGGAAGATGGCATGAAAGCAACAATCCTGCTGTGCATCTGCGGTCAGGACACTTTCGATGTAGCCAGAACCTAGTAGCCCCGGCACCACTGGAGTCTGTCACCTATACAGACAAAAAAAACATGCTGAAGGATCACTTCCACCCCAAGCTTTCTGTGATTGCGTGGAGGCATGCTTTTGAGCATAGGGATCAGAAGCCAGGCAAGTCCACTGCTGAGTTCATTGCTACGTTGAGACAAGCTGCCAGGCTTTGTGAATTACGAGACCTTTCGTCTGCAGCCTGAGAAGCAGAGAGCTACAACAAAAAATCTTTGCTAAAACTGAAGTCACCTTCCAAGATGTCTTACATGAAGTTGCAGCTGAAGAAGCAGCAGGCGGCACTGTGAAGGCTCTGCAGCTTGCCAGAAATGCTCCAGTCGTCGCGACCGTCCATCAAGAGGTGGCTCAGGAAGTCCAAGACTCAGATCCTGAAGAGGAGGTGGACAGAGTTCACCAGCCGGCGGTGAGAAGACCGCGAGAGAAACCAGACAAGGCCCCAGCAGCCTTCAGTCTCTCGGTTGTGGAAGACGCCACAAGCGCACAGACTGCCGGTTCCGCTCCGCCATTTACCGGGCATGTGGTAAGCAAGGCCACATTGCCACCATTTGTTTTGGTCGCCAGTAGGTGCAACCTCGGGAAGAATCCCTTCGGAAAGGTACCAGGGTCCCCAGCCAACACAGGGTGGGTTTCTGCGCGTCGCGTAGAAGCATCTTGCAAATGGGGACACACAAGCCCCTTAAAAAGAAGCTTCGCATTGATGTACAGTTACAAGGGGTTCCCTTATCGATGGAGCTGGACATCGGGTCCGCTCTATCGATCATTTCACACAATACTTTTTAAAGAATTTGCTGCAGTAGTGGCTGTCGAGTCCAACTCAGGCCATCAAACCTAATTCTTACTGACTTTCAAAATTCAGAGATTAATGTATTAGGAGAAGCCACACTCAAGGTGCAGTGTAAAGCTTTCCAAGGCCTCTTAGATGTGGTGGTTGTTTGGGGTGATCGTACAAGTCTAATTGGACACGACTGGTTTGAGGCCCTGGGAATTCAGGTGACTGGTCTGAATAGTCTGCAAACTCCAGGACTTGAAGAAGTCTGCAAAGAGTTTGCGGATGTGTTTAGTTCAGAGCGGGTTCATACAAAGAGCCTCCCATCGCACTGCGATTAAACCCAAACATTGCACCAGTTAGGATTAAGCCTAGGAGGGTGCCATTTGCCCTCAAAGGCAAGATTGATGCTGAACTGGACAAGCTGCTCCAGCAGGGCATCTTGGAACCTGTGGACTCAAGTCCATGGGAAACCCCAATCGTGATGCCTTTAAAGGCTAACGGGGAAGTCCGAATATGCACGGACTATAAGTGTACTCTGAACACAGCTTTGCAACAGCATGCATATCCTGTACCAGTAGTGAGTCATATTCTGGCCTCCCTTAAAGGGGGAACACTGTTTGCAAAGCTTGATTTAGCACAGTCCTATCAACAGCTACCTGTTGATGAGGCAACTGCTGAAGCCCAAACAATAGTGACCCATAGGGGTGCTTTTAAAGTAAAAAGGTTACAATTTGGGGTGAATGTTGCTTCTGGCATATTCCAGAGCGTCATGAAGCGCACACTCAGGGGTATCCTGGGGGTCTGCCCCTACTTTGATGACATCCTCACTGCAGGGGAGTCATCGCAGAATTTGGCTGAAAGATTAAGGGCTGTGTTGATGAAATTCCATCAGCTGGGCCTCAAATTAAAAAAGGACAAATGTAAAATTGGTGTTACTTCTACAGAATTGTTAGGCTTTAAAATAGATGCTCAAGGCATCCACCCTGCAGAGTCTAAATTGAAGGCCATTCAGGAGGCCCAAGTCCCAAGTCCAAGAGCGAGCTTCAGGCTTTCTTGGGATTTCTTAACTTTTATCATGCTTTCCTTCCCCACAAGGCTGCTGTGGTTGAGCCGTTACACCAGCTCTTGGACAAGCAAGCTCCATGGCAGTGGATTAAAGTCCATGACAGGAGTTTTATGAGGTCAAGGCTTTGCTCTCATCAAATGCGGTATTAGCCCATTTTAATGAGCAACTGCCTGTATGCATCACTTGTGATGCATTCCTTTATGGGGTGGGTGCTGTACTCAATCACCTGAAGGCTGATGGGACCCAAGTCCCTGTGGCCTACTATTCAAGGACTCTGTCATATGCAGAGTGTAATTATGCTCAGATTGACAGAGAAGCCTTGGCCATAGTTGCTGGCATAAAGAAATTTCATGATTTTTTATATGGCTGCCACTTCACGGTCTACACAGACCATAAGCCTTTGCTGGGTTTGTTTACCACAAACAAACAAACACCACACATTATTTCCCCACGTATGCTGAGATGGTCTATTTTCCTGTCAGCATATGACTACACTTTAATTCACAAGCCTGGAAAGGAAATGGGCCATGCAGATGGCCTCAGCAGATTACCTCTAACACAGATAGAGGCAGATCCTGCTCCTGCTATTAACATTCTCTCCATTCAGGAGTTGCCTGACTCTCCCCTCAATGCTATGGATGTGGCTGCAGAAACTGCCACTGATCACACACTTGCACGCGTACTGACATGGGTGTTGTCAGGATGGCCTGACACGTGTCCAGATGCTACATTTCAAAGTTTCTGGCAAAGGAGACACACACTGTCTATCTTTAATGGGTGCCTTTTATGGGGGAGTAGAGTAGTTATCCCAGCCTCACTGAGGTCTAGAGTCATGTCCTCTCTGCATGAGGGACATCCAGGCATAGTACGCATGAAAGTGCTTGCACGGATGCCAGGTGTGCCAACAATCCTGGCCTGATATGCCTCAGGCCCCTGTACACAGGTGGGAGGAGACACAAACCCCTTGGTGAAGGGTACATTTAGATTATGCTGGGCCCTTCCAGGGGCAATTCTTCTTTATCCTTGGGGATAGCCATTCCAAGTGGCTAGAGGTTGTACTTGTCTCCTCCACTACTACTGCCAGGACTATCCAGGTGCTAAGAGGAATCTTTGCAACCCATGGCCTGCCTGATATTCTTGTTTCTGACAGTGGTCCTCAATTTACATCTTCTTAGTTCCAGGCTTGCCTTCAGGCCAACTTGATATGGCATGTAATGTCAGCTCCCTTCCACCCTTCCACCAACGGGCAAGCTGAAAGAATGGTGTGCACCACCAAAAACGTGCTCAAAAGACTAACGCATGGCAGCTGGCAGGTTAGCAGACTTTCTTCTTGCACACCGCACCACACCTTGCACTGCCATTGGGAAGAGCCCAGCTGAACTCCGCTGGGGCCGCTGCCTCATCACGAAGTTAGACAGATTGCACCCCAACCGGGTGTCTTCCCAGGTGTCACAGCCACGGGCTCCTCGGAGACTTCAGGTGGGCAATCCTGTCTGGGCTAGGAACTATGGTCCTGGACATCTCTGGGTTCCTGCTGTCTTTTGTAAGATCTCTGGACCTCTATCATACGAAGTGACCTTGGGAGATGGCCACGTCCTGCGGCGCTACATCGATCAACTGCGCTGGCGGTTGTCCCTTGTTGATTCCGTCCCTGCCTCCGCTCTCGGGGGGAGGGGACCCAGGAACTACCTCACACTTCAGGTCAACCTTCTGAGACACAATCTCACTGTTCCTGGGAATTGCCACAAGTCGCTAGGGATTTCCCAGGGGAGGAGCAATGGCATCCTCACAATTCAGCTATTACACCGAACAGAGAGTCCGGCGCATCAGCAATTGCTCCCAAGAGGAAGTCATCCCAAGGGGTGGCCAGCGTATCCACAAGAGCGTCAAACAGGAATTCTCCTGAGGAGGGATTTGCCATAGAGGCGGCTCCTGACTCTGGCACCTTGGCCACAGGGGACTGGGAGTATTGGGGCATACATGCAACGCAGGTCACACCCGAGACTGGTTGTGGGCTCGAGGGACTAAGTTCCCTGGAGCCATCCAGGGAAGTTGGGGAGTCCTCAACCACTCCAGCGGGTTGGGGAATTTCCTCCGCTCTCCCCTGGCAACTCTACCAGCATGCCTCACCAGGGGTCACCTGCAAAATTTGTGCATAAAAGTCCTGATCTAGCGAGCCCACCAGATGGGCTGGTAGGCCAGGCGCCCTTAAGTTCAAGTCCTGGTCTACCTAGCCAGGCAGGTGAGCTGACAGGCCAGGCACCCTCCCTGACTTTGCATAGGTCACAAAGGGCTAAGACCCCTCCTAAGCACCTAGGTGAATATGTGAGGTTCTGTCAGCACAAGGAAACCTTACTAGTCTAGGATAGGAGTTGGACCTATGTGGGGTAGAAGATAGACACAGGAAGTCGACATTAAAGGGTGCGTTGTTAGAGAACCCTATTGCTTTATAAGAATGTTGCCTGCATGTGAGCAGGAATATTATTATTATTTTTTATTTTTATTATTATGATTGTGAAAAAAAATTGGAAGTGTGTGTGTTCTATCTAGGGGGGGGAGAAGAGGGAAGAAAGAGGGATTCCTATTGGTTGGACTGCCTGGGGGTTGGAAAAATATAAAAGGCCTGCGTGCCTGTTTTGCAGTTGTTTGGAGTGGAGTTAAGGAGAAATAAAGAATGCTTTACAATGTGTCGTGTTTCAATGCCTCGAATCCCGAAACACAAAAACTATCATGGCAATCATCTTGACTTTTCTGACACATAGTACTGCCAGTTCTGCTTGGCATTCTCCCAAACAAATCTCTAGGCTTTTTTTAATTATTATTCATTCCTTTTTTTCTGAAAATGCCTGCAGGCCCTATTTGGGGAATAGGAGAAATCTTGTAAATAAAGATAAGGCATGCAGGTTTCTCATTTACATTTTAAAAGACTGAAATAAACTTTTTTAACAAAAAAAAAACACCAAATAAAAATCAGGCATGCAAGATGTGCATTAGATACTAAGAGAGAGATTCATGGGTACCAAGTTGCTTACCCTTCAGTTCAAAACTTACTTAGGATCTGCCACCAGGCAACCTTTTACACCATCGAAGCCCAGACTTGGGGCGGCAATGCAAGCTGCTGCCATTGTGTTGACATTGTTGGGGGCCAAGGAACACAGACCCCGCACAGGGCCGTTGTACAGCACCATGCTTTCCTCCTGGTCTCCCTTTGCAAGCTCCCCAAGAGACCCACTCAACCGGAAGCTGTCCGGGTGTTTAGTCATAGTGACTGTTAATGCCTGGAAAAAAATAGAGTATTGGAGAAGTCACGAATCCTTAAATATCCCTTTCTTTCTAGCCTTTTAAATAGTAGAATCCCAATCCAAAGATTTCTACTTCTGAATAAGAATACAGGAAAGTGCCTTACATTAATTAATTTGTTTTGTTTTGTTTTTTGAAGTATACATTGCTTGCTGAAAGTTTTCCAGTATTTCACAATGGCTTCTTCCACAGCTGCATTTGATGTCAGTAATTCCCCAAATATTTATGTCCAAATTTTCTTTTATCAACATAGATTTTCTCTTACATCAACCTTTCCTATCTGGACTTAAGACACAACTCCAAGATTTCAATTGCAATTACTACAATTCCTTTGCAGGCTGGGAATTCTGAAAGACGCAGCCCCATGTTTTATAGATATCACTAGGTTAAGGAAGCTACCCTACCCCATTTCTCTGTAGGCACTTACCTGGAGCATCCCTGCATCATCCAATCTTTGAATGTCTTGGCCACCCCATAAAGCCCCACTGGGGATGTAGAGTGTGTGTCCAGTCTTTTTTGCCACTTCACGTAATCTAAGCTCAGTGTTCACATCTGCTAGGGCTGTTGGTGATCCCACCTAAAGGACATGGTGATATTTACACTGTTGATGCTGGGGAATCTGGAAGAAGAGTGCTTCAGGACAATATATTTACTGTTCTTTTCAATTATTCAGTGCAAAATAATTTAATTTAATAAGACAAAGAAGAAAGAAACAGAAACCAAGTACACATAACATACTGACATATAAATGTGATTTATTTGATTTAGACTCGCCTTTCACAAGCTGGCACCCCAAATATGCAAATTTCAACTCTCAGATTTCTCAGTAATGGCTATGCTTACAGGGAATTCTGGGAATCAGGCTATATATCTGGAAAAAGCCATGTTTGGAAATGCTAATTTAGACCATATTCTGTGATCCAAACTCATGTTCACCCTTACTGGGACTCCAAGTGTTGTCAAAACTTAGTGGCATAATTTTTCTACCATAGAAAACATGAAAACAGTACCACAAGTCTTTAAGAATAAACTTAACATAATCTACACAACAGAGAAAATATCAAACTTTCTCCTAAAACAGCAGAAGAAATAGCAAATCCCTGTCTATGTACATAACGCAGTCAAGCACAATTTGCATTATTATTTCACTCTCTATGATCCTTGATCCCTTCCAAAACATTGAACGTCTCTGATCACCCAAAGTTCTCTATTCCTGCTAAAAACCATGAATTAGAGTCTTGCATGTCACATTTAAAGCAAGATACAAATATAAATTAAAAAAACATGTTGATGCTGCCTGTCTCTGTCTGTAGGCAGCTGTAGTTCTCACCATAAAATCTGCAGCTTTAAGGAAGAATTCCCCATAATCTTGGGCAATACAGGGATGTGCCACTTCAACAATGACATCAGCATGGCTTTGGAAAGAAGCAACAAACATAATAACAAGAGGCTATATTGACAATACCAGTGCAGTACCTAGATAACAATCCATTTCCCCTTCATTTTGTAATCACTGAAAAGTTTGTCTTTAATGGACCAACTCTTGCATTAAATCTCAAAAAATAATGGCATTCCTCCCTAAGATCCCTTGAGATTCACACAATGTGCCTTGAAGTTCAGCCTTCCCCAGCTTGATTGATCCATAGGTATTCAGTCACAACTCCCAATTATTCCCCATCCAGTAGGATAGTGACATGATTACTGAAGTCTAGACATCCTGAGGGCATTACATTTAGTCAGAGAAGATTGGTTTAATCACAGAATCTTTCTCAGGTTGGGGAATGCTGAATTATTTTCGTCAACAGCAGCACTCTGGGCTGTTGTCAAGTGTCCTCTTGGCCCCTGTGTAGAAATGCTAATGTTTGAATGTGGGATGTTCTACTGATACATCTTTATAAGGTTTGCATTTCATCTTCCAAAGAAACTAAGAAAAGTGAAATTAAAAAAAAAAGACAACCATCAAAACCTAAACGTAGGTGTGTCAAACATCAACCTAGTCAGAACAAATAAATGTGAGGCAATTCTGCCTAGGTTTGCAGTAGCTCTAACAGTCAACTTACAAAATCAAGTATCTATTTGAATAAATATACCTTTGAATGCCAGTGGAAGGTCATCCATTTCCCCTGGCAAGAATGCCAATAGAGAACATGTCTTCCAAATGAGAAGACTGTAATAATTTTGAGAATAAACACTGGCTACATTGTGAATCATCAGTTGAAAGCATGTCTACCTAGACATGTTCTTCAATAAAATTCAACTCAGTTTCTACAGAGATAATCCATACAATATATAGTATATGATTATTATAATCCAAAATCACTCGGAGCTAAGAATTGGTCTAACATCTTAATAACTGCCTTATGCTGACTGCTAAAAAATGGGAAGTACTCACATTAACTACACTTACTTGATTTTAATTTTATCAAAATCAAATCCAGTTTGATTTTTTGTACTGGAGCATAGCCCAAGCAGACTACTCAAAGGTTGAATGTGGCTTTCAACTCAATTTAAGTAGTCCTTAACTTACAAACTTTGCTTATTGGAAATCAGCTGGGAAGGTTGAAAATGATGATGACATGACCCTAAATTTTTGCAACCATTATAAATGTAAGCCAAGCACCCAGATTGCAACCATTTGAGCATAGGGTGTTGCAATGATCCTAAGTATGTTGACAAGTCATAAATCTCCTTTTCCCTATCTTAACTATGAAAGGGCTTGTCTGCTCACCATTGTAAAAAATCTGTCAACTTCCCCAACCTCAGCTCCACTGGTACAGTGTCCTCCATCTTGCTGGCATCCCGGTTCCAAACAAAAGCCAGCTCCAAACCATGTTGGAACCCTTCATCTTGGATTCGTTTTGTCAGATACTGGCCTGAAGATTGAAAATGAAATAGTAATTTTCACCATTGTGGACTTAGCTCTCTCATGCACCTGCTACACTTCAGATATGGGAGAAAAATTCTGGCATAATTGTCACAGTTTTGCTATGTTTTTGTCTAGGAGTGACTCAATGTTAATAATTTCCTTTGTTTAGAACCTCCAATGATTTGGGAGGCTGTTATGTACTGGTTGAGTCTATGCATGTCAGGTTATGATATAACTTGCCTAATCATGATTATGCCCAAGCATAAATCATGGTTTATATAGCACTAAGCCAAAACCAAGCAAATCACATTATAGCTTAGCACAATGGATGTGTTTTATGAGCTTCAAAAAAGATTTGTTTGACCACCATTGGAAACAGAACGCTGAGCAATACATTAATCTTTTTTCTGATCCAGCAAAATAAACCTTCAGTACTTAGGGGGGGGGAAGCACATGTACAAGAAGACAGAGGCTTGTTTTATTAGCCCAAAGCAAAAATCAATGAAAAAATTCAGAAGGCGGAGGTTGTAGATCCTAACCGTTATAGTAAACTAATCAAAACTGAAATAACAGCTTGGCATTTGCTCTAGGTCAAAATCAAGACCTAAGAAAAAATCTGGATTTGCAAACTGAAAATATGAGTCTTTGGAGAAAAGCATTTGACTGCCTCTAGTGCAGGAGTGGGTAATTTGTAGTAGCTAAAAGCTGAACTGTTTTTATATGCTCTCCAGGTGATAGGGCAGGTAATGTGATAACACAGAGTGGGTGGGGCAATGTTTGCAGAGATTTAAGGCACACATTATACCACCTAATCCCCCTCACACCATTGCAAAAAGTTTTTTTTTAAAGATTTTAAGGGTTAGCATAGATGTCTTAAGCTTCTGTAAAGTCCTCGGTAAGTCTCCCCCCCCCCCAGCTATTCTCTTTTCTTCCCTGAAAAACCAAAGCATTTGGCCAAACACACAGATTTTTTTAAAATCGCTTTTGAAATAAAAAGACACCTATGTTTTCACAAATTGGGCAATCTTGCTGAAAGTAGGTGCTCATAATAAAGGCAAAAACTACAAGTTCCTTGTCTATTAGCAGATTCAGTGAATGGGGAGACTGATAAGACAAATATGGCCAAGAAATGCTACTTACCTAGATGTCCATAGCCCACAATTCCAATCCGCCTCTTCCTTTGGCCTCCAAACATTTGGCCTGCTGTGAGCCAAATAGTCACAGAAAGTTGTCTGACAAAGATAGAGCAGAGCCGGAGGTATTGCACTGGATCCCATATTTAGGCCCCAGGGTATTTCATGTTTATCTAGCCTTTCCTAGTGAAGCTCAGGCTACCTGTCTTCCTGCATACTATTTTTTTTTTCTTGCAAAGTAGGTTATAAGTCAAGGGAATGCCACAAAGCTATCTGGGGATTTCATGGCTGAATGGGGATTTGAATCTTGATCTCCTAGTTCAAGAGGCTCTGACTCTAATACACTGGCTTGGCTATTGAGCAAAACCACCTTCTCTGCACTTGGAAAGGAGGAAAAGAACTGCAGTTAATATGTACAAAATGCAAATGTAAACAAGAACTTACAATTCTATAACTGTGAAATGAGGCAAACATTTTAACATGCATATAACATGGTATATGTTGGTTCAGATCCTTAATGGCTGAGGATGATGGGAACAGTAGTGCAACATATCTTGAATGGTGCTGATAAAGAGAGATAAAGAGAGGCTCTGCACATTTGCCATTTCAAGATTTCTTATTAGTTCAGCCACTCAGTCATTCATGGCTGCATGTGCAAATGAATTCACTGTGAAGCAACAGGGATGAGTCAGAATTTCTAATCTTATTGCTCATTCAGACATGCAAGTCATCATTTGATGTTGCCATTAATAATTGATGGATGAGAAAGCTCTGGGAAGGTATCTTAGTTTCCCATTCTCTACTCATCCTCTGAGTCTTCAGTTCCCATTTTCATTCATACACACACATGCTGGCACCAGGTGCTTCTTCTATATGATCTAATGAAATCTATTATTCCTTCCAATTCCATGCTCAGGCTGCATGAAAAGGAAGCTTGGGAAAACCCCAAGGTCTGCAGAAACAGAAAAAATATCTTTGGGACTTGAAGCTAGAAGAACACCCCAAACATCTTAAAGTAGCCTGAATATGTTGGTCTGCAAGGAATGACGTCTGTTCAAATGGAACATAATGGAATGATGTGGCCTGAAACTGAAAGGGAACATTTCATCCTGTAACTTATTATTTTAACTTACTCACAGATTTACTTTGTTAAATATTCTATCTTAATATAGCTTTTACTCCTCTTCTTGTTTAATATCCCCAGCTCCCCTTCTATGTTGAGGTGACTCACCTGGTTTAAGTTGTGTTCAGATAGCTGCAGGATAATGGGAAAAAAAGAGGAATGTTCCTGAGTTCATTTGGCTGATCATTTCTGGAAGGACATTAATTATTAACCCAGGCTGGCCTGTAATCCTTATTGAAATGGTTGCTTACAGAATTTCTCAAAAATAAAGCTGCCTTTTTGGCTGGCTTGGAAATATGGCCGCAATATCACACAACCTTTCCAACAACTGTAAGTATCCCACATCATATGCTCCCTCCTGAGCATTGAAGTCTTATGTTCTATTAACTAAGTTTTATAATGGACATAATTCGCACACTTGACTGAAAATAAGTTTTAATTTGTAATGTGCCCACTGCACAGAAATATCAGTGTGCTTCTAGATATTTCCCTTGATATCTGTCAGATCTCCTGACCCATCTAATTTTGTACATCTTGAAAACATTCTTTTAATTAAAATGGGGAACTCTTCAGCATCATCTTTAATTCTAAGAATGCCTCTGAGCCTAAGGCTGGTCCCATAAGCTTTCTTAGAAAATAAAAATGATAGGCAACTTACAGTTCAGTGCTTTGGATATGATCTATCTATACAGAAAAAGAATGAGAATAGAGGGTTAGCAGGTAACATTTTGGTAAATTGGGGTTTTGTGACTGGTTATCCCAACACCTGCAGAATGTGATCAGGGGCAACGACTGATAAAACATGTCATGATATCACAACACAACCTCTCTGCCTTATTCAGTTGTGCCCAATGTCAGGACTTAAGCATGGTTAGTGGTTAACAAGCGAGAAAGTGAGGGACCATAAGTTCAAGCCCCACCTTAACCATGAAAGATAGCTAGATAACTTTGGGACAGTCATTCTCTCTTAGCCCAACAGGGAAAATAGGAGGAAGAAGGTGTGTTGGATATATTTGCAACTTTGAGTTATTTGTAAAAATAATAAAGACAAAATACAAATAAAAAATAAGTCAAAAATGAAAGAGTGAGTGTGTATTATGATATCGCAATCATATCATCATCATCTCCAGATGCCTTTTTCCATGAATGCCATTTTTTAATGAATGTAAAAACACCACCGTCTATCCTACAACATATTTTTAAAATTCCAAAGTTACCCACTGGTCCCCAAATAATCAACTGTGCATGTGAAAAAATTATGAGCCCACCTAAAATGTGTTTACTCAGGGATAAATTCTATTAAGCTTAGTAGAACTTATTTCTTAGTAAGCATGTTTACAGCTGCAGCCCCAATTTTTCAGGTCAATGAAACTGTGGTATGACAGGGTCAGTTTAAAAAAAGGCAATAATTCACTTGTGACTGTTCATACCTATTCACCTTGTTCACCTTTTTTCTATTAATGTTATAAAATTATATTGTTTTCTTAAAGCTTTCCAACCTTTGAGGGCCAGCAGGCACATCTGACATTTTGAAAACATGTTGTGGGCATTCAGTGAAAATGGCTGTCATAGGGAGGGCTTGCTCCTCCCATAAATGGTGGCTAGATAGTGGGTGGGGGGAATTACAAAGCACTTAGAGGTTAAACTAGTAGGATTGCTACTAGCCAACCAATTTGTTGAGCATTTGGGGATAGCCACTCATCACTTATATAACATTCTTGGGATCTGTGAGGTACATTCAAGGGTCTCAGGGAAACAAATATTTTACTGGCTGCTGGTACTTTTTTTATTTTCTAGAGTGCTTCTTATGTTCCAGTTTTCAGACTTATAGAAGTTAAAATCGGATTGAGGTGAAATCAGGAATAACTCCATGAGGGCATTGACACCATGAACATTGAGCTGAAGATCCCAGGATTAGACAAGGGGTAATTAACAAGTGTAATTAATTAACTGGATCTAACATCATTCTGGATTCATCATCATCACCACCACCACCACCATTATCACTACCAATTTATATTTTCTTATTCTACCAATGGTATGAAACATATGTGCAAATTCTATAACAAATATTTTGTTTCTGATTTATGTAATTATTCTTGGAGTTAGTATCTTCCTTTTAGCATAAAATTCTGCAGTTACTGGGCAAGCGCTATCCTAATAAGTCCTGTTGTCACTTTTAATTCCAGTTTATTATAATCCCTCTCTATTTTAAAATAGATTTTGGCATGTTTTCATTTCATCTAACCTTTTTCTCTCTGCAGTAGCAAGCTTGGGTTTTTCTTACTTCTTCCCAACCTCCCTCTTGTTTAATAAAAGCTGAATTTGCACAATTCAGCTCATAACTGAACAACTGAACTCATAAACAAGCAATACATTGAATGTACCTTTCCAAAAAGTTATGCTTCCGAAGAGGAGCAGAACTTGAGAGGTGATTGGGAAGCAGATGGATTAAGCTGCTGTCTGAAGGAATATCAGAAAAATAAATAAAAAGTTATGCTAAATATAGGGAATGATACAACTTGGGTACAGGATGAACCAAAGGCTGAACCAAAATAAAAACACAAAAAAGCAGCAAACCTTTTCCTTTTATCTCAATAGATATTTCACATACTGTAATTTGAGAGCTACAGTATATCTGCATTTACTGGCTTTTGAAACATCCATTTTTTCCTTTTCCTTTTCTAATAAAAATCAGCTTCAAAGGAATCTCCCTAGAGATCACAATGGGGAAAAGAGGGATTAAATTTTCCTTTCACTTGTTCCAGTTCTGATGGCAACTTATAACTTTATTTTCCTATCATGTAAAGATATCCTGCTGGATCCAACTAGCTATATTTTTCTATCCTCTGTTTTTTTTTCTTATTTTGATTGAGGTTGTCGTGTTAAATGTGTGTTATATGATAGAAAATTGCATGCCTCAATTTTCCCCTTTTCCTTCAACCATGCTCTACTTTTACTCATGGTATTTGAGAATGTATTTTGTTTCGATCTGCTAATTGAAACTTGGTTTGAATAGAATAGAGCTGGAAGGGACCTTGGAGGTCTTCTAGTCTAGCCCCCTGCTCAAGCAGGAGGACCTACACCATCTCAGACAAGTAACTGTCTAGCCATCTTCTTAAAAATCTCCAGTGATGGAGCACCCATGATTTCTGGAGGCAAGCTGTTCCACTGGTTAATTGTCCTCATTTTCAAGAAGTTTCTCCTTAATTCCAGTTTTCTTCTCTCTTTGATCAATTTCCAACCATTGTTTCTCATCCTTCCCTCTGGTACTTTGGTGAATAACGTGACCCCTTCTTCTTAGTAGCAGCCCCTCAAATATTGGAATACTGCTATCATGTGTCCCCTATTTCTTCTTTTCTTTAAACTAGCCAAACCCAAGTCCTGCAGCCATTCTTCATATGTTTTAGTCTCCAGGCCTTTAATCATCTTAGTTGCTCTTCTCTGATTTTTTTCCCAAACTCTCAACATCTTTTTTGTGATATGGTGACCAAAATTGGCTGCAGTATTCCAAGTGTGGTCTTAACTAGGGTTTTATAAAGCAGTACTAATACTTCATGAGTCTGTTTATATTAGGTTTTTTGGCTGCTGCTGCACACTGCTGGCTCATAGTCAAGTGATCATCCACTAGGACTCCAAGGTCCCTCTCACAATTACTGTTTTTAACCCAGGTCTCACCCAATCTGTACTTGTACCTTTGATTTTTCCTGCCCAAATGTAAAACTTTGCTTTTCTCCACATTAAAACTCATTTTGTTGGATAGGGCCCATTGTTCAAGTTTGTCAAGATCTTTTTGGATCCTGAGTTTGTCTTCTGAGGTGTTGACTACTCCTCCCAGTTTGGTGTCATCTGCAAATTTAATGAATTCTCCTTCAATTCCCTTATCTAAGTCATTGATGAAGATATTGAAGAGTACTGGGCCTAAGATGGAACCTTGTGGTACCCCACTGCTTAATTCTCTCCATGTGGATGTAGTCCCATTGAGGACTACTCGTTGAATACAGTTTGCCAGCCAACTACAGTTCTATCTGGGGGTGACGTTGCCTATTCCATCTTTTTCTAGCTTACCAAAGAGTAGGTTGTGGTCTACTTTATCAAATGCCTTTCTGAAATCTAAATATACTACACCCACAGCATTTCACTGATCTACTAGTTTAGTCACTGTATCAAAGAATGAAATAAAATTGGTTTGACAATCTGTTTTTAACAAACTCGTGCTGGCTACTAGTTATAACTTTGTTTGCTTCTAGTTGTTCACAGATCTGTTTTTTGATTATCCTTTTTAGGATCTTCCCAGGTATTGATGTTAAACCATTGGTCTATAGTTTTCTGGGTCCATTTTTTTCCCTTTCTTGAAGATAGGAACCATATCAGCCCTTTTCCTATCCTCAGATACTTCCCCAATGCTCCAGGATTTATGAAAGGTGTGGTACAATGGTTCTGAGATAACATCTGCCAGTTCCTTCAGAACTCTGGGATGTATGGTGGATGATAGCGTTGATGCTTTCTCGAATGCACTTATCATTCTGAAGATTCCTGGGTGGTCAACATTTTTTTGACTGAAGATGCCACATGGGAGTTCCCTCATTATGTCCTCCTTTGGAATTTAATTGAAATGTTGAAACTGACTCCTAAAGAAAGACTGCACAAACATTTATGCACAGACTCTTTACCATCTTACTAAACAAGTGCAAGAGCCATATTTGAGAATTTCACAGCCATTCTCTTCTCCTTTGCAAAAAACTTTAGAAACAAATTATATTTCATCATCTTTAATGAAAATGGGGAGATTTATTTATTTATTTAGTGTATGGCATATCACACGTGGACTAATTATATTAACATTTGACCTAGATTAGTAAAACACAATAAAATATAAATATTTTTTTAATTGAAAATTTTTAAACTTTTACAAAAAAGTTCCCTTCCCTGAACCCTCCCAACCCACCCCAACCCTCCCCCAACCTTCCCAGAGGTGAATACAGGCTTAATTAAAATTTAAAAGAAAAAATTTTAAACGCAAATAAACCATATACAAATTTGGTTACAATAATTAAACAAATATTTAAAAAACAGAAAGAGAAAAAGAAAAGAAACAAGAAAAAGAAGAAAAAAGAGATTAGAAAAAGAAAAAAAATATATCTAAAAAATATCTTAAACTTTAAATATAAATTATTCAAAAGCTAAATAATATTTTTATATCATACTTGTATTGTATAAAATTTATCCATCTTTTCCATACCAAAAGGTACTTCTCTTGCGATTGATCTTTCAAGAAAGCCGAAATCTTTGCCATTTCCGCTAAGTAAGAAACTTTAAGAAACCATTCTTGCAAAGTAGGCAAAGATTCCTTCTTCCAACATTGCCCTACTAACAACCTAGCCTCTGTAATTAGATTTAACATTAATATAGTTTTTTTACTGTCACAATCGGAAACAATACCCAACAAAAACAATTGTGGAGTAAATTTTATCCTTCTTTTAAAAATTCTTTGAATATTCCACCATATCTTAATCCAAAAAGCTTTTATGTTTTTACATAACCACCAAATATGATAATATGTGGCGTCCAAGCAACCACATCTCCAACATTTAGGCTGCAAGTTTGAATACATACGAGACAATTTTTGTGGATCAAGATGCCATCTGTAAAACATTTTATAAAAGTTTTCCCATAAATTTTGGGCTTGTGTAAATTTGACATTTCTCACCCAAATAATCTCCCAAGTATCTAATGGAACCAATTCATCAAAATTTTGTGCCCATTTAACCATACAATCTTTAACTAATTCTGCTTCTGAATCCAATTCCACTAACACCCCATAAATTCTTTTGATA